ACGGCAATCGATTAATTTATTCCACTCAGTAGATATAATGCTACCTCTGGCTTGGACATCTCTATAATGGCGTAAATTATGTTTGCCTCTAATCAAACTGACCTCTAATCGAACCTCTAATCAAACTGAAATAATAACCTTCAGAATTTTTCAGTTCATTCTAAGTTGATTTGTTTTTAGTTTACTTTCTTAGGCCAATATTTAAAAAAATATGCTCGTATTAGTAAAAATAATGCTCGTTAAAATAGGCGTCTTCCATTATTTGCCTATTGAATATTCATCAATGATCAATCAGTCACTAGTAGCAACCAATAAGAATACATTTCACTTCAAAGTAAAATAGTATGAAAACAACTGATTGCCATTAACAACCTCAATATTACGACAACTAATTGAATGATGGTAGTAAGGTGATATAGTTCAGCCTCTGGCTTGATGATGTCTAATAGGTACTAAGTTTACATGAGAATGACTTATTTAAAAAAAAATTTGAAGAAAAAGTTAATGATTAAAATCAATTTAATGAAATGGCCTGTTTAGTTTAAATCAAACACAAATTAAAATTACAATTAAATTATAAATACAAAATCATGGGTGATAAAGACAGATTTCCCGTTTTTCCGACACCAATGGCAAAGCAACAAATGAAAGCTCGATTGTCAATAGCTGAAAAAGGCCATGACATGTTGAAAAAGAAGGTAGAAGTACTGGATATGAGGTTTCGCAAAATTGGAAAAGAAATCATTCAAGTAAAACGTCTGATGGGTACAATCTTCGTGGAAGCTTCCATGCTTTTAGCTGAAGCAAGGTTTGTTTCTGGCCATTTCAACCAAGCAGTTTTAAACAAATCTACCAAAGCCAGACTCAAGGTTTATCATAAAACGGAAAATGTCGCTGGAGTTAAACTTGATGTTTTTGAATGCTTTGACGAAGGTCAAGATTACTATAACTTGACAGGATTGGCTAAAGGTGGGGAAAAACTGAGTGCTCTAAAGCACGCGTTCATGAATGCTACCGATATACTTGTAGAGCTTGCCACTCTGCAAACAACTTTTTTGGTTTTGGATGAAATTATTAAAAGCACCAACCGAAGAGTGAATGCCTTGGAGCAAACGTATATTCCGAAAATCAAGAAAACTATACAATATGTTGATAGTGAAATGGACGAAAATTCTCGCCAGGATTTCTACCGATTGAAAATGGTGAAAAGAATAAAGTTAAGAGAAATAGAGGAAAAGAAGAAAGCTAAGGCAGAAATTGACGATGCAGGAAATGGAATGGACAAGAAGCCAAATAAGCAATTTATGGACGAGTCGAGTCAAACGGACATTAGAGCAATATAACTCTGATTTTTAATATTTATACAAAAATTAAATCAGATCAAATTCTATCAAAAGAACTTTTTCAAATAATTCAATACGCCAGTTTAGTAAATTACACATTTGTTCATGATAGGTTTCAGGCTTCATTATGATAAACCACATTTTCCTTTTTCTTTTGATTTATAAAAAAAATCAAAATGAAAAATGATATTTTTAAAAACCAAGTTTTTGTAGTGGAGAATAATAATTAAAAAATAAAAATTTGAAAAACAAAAAACGTGGGGTGCATGAAATACATAACAGCGTTATATTAGTGTGTGTATGTCTGTGCACATGAGAATATGTGTATATTTATCTGTAATTGTAATTGCATCTGTATGTGGATGTGTATGTGGAATATGTTTGTGTATATGCATGTTTATGTGGAACTATATGTGTATGTGGCTGTGCATGTGCATGAGTAAGAAAATGTGTATATGTATGCGTATATGTACTGTTATGTATTTCATGCGCCCCACGTTTTTCGTTTTTCAAATTTTCATTTTTTGATTATTATTCTCCACTACAAAAACGTGGTTTTTAAAAATGTTATTTTTTATTTTGATTTTTTTTTTGTACTCACTTCAAAATCTCAATTTTTTCACTCACTGTACACAAAACTTGTCAATTGACATGTTACACTAATTTGATAATCAAATCGACAACAAAGGACAATCGTGAAAATATTAATTTTTCTTTAATTTTATTTTACTTTGTATGTCTTTTTTCTCTTCATTTTCATGCATTGTCATCCAATTCTGAACTATGTGCCAAATTTGAAGTCTCTACCTAGTCGGGAAGTTAGTTTAAAATTGATTGCAAAATTCTACCCGAACAGACATACACGAAGGCAAGTTAATATAAACGTGGTAAAAAAGAAAGAAATATTATTTTCTTGTAGGTAAATTCTGCTATTTTGCGTAATATCGTAATGGCTCAGTTGATGAAGCGTTAGCCTACCAACCAGGTGAACAAGTTCGAATTCCAGCAATGGTTGAGTGGTTTTAGTATACTGCTCCAGTCTCGCGCCGATCCCAGTGCCATTCAAAAATATGTCCAGTGATAGTTGGATTGGGAGTTAGGATCCTCTAGGTTTTAGGTTTTATCTAAGCTTTCCTTCTCCATGTAATGTGAATGAGGGAGATTCTACCAAAAATGCGAGTTTGTCACAAAGGTCGATCGATTAATTCTCGAGTTTTTAGGGTTAGGTACAAAATTACGAGTCTTCACTTCGAGTTTATCATTGATGTAGCCCCAAATAAAGTATAGGTCAATACCAGTTGCTCAATACTGCTAATAAGAAAGAAAGAAATAGCATCTGAAATAGTGAGAAAATTAAGGAAAGGTTTGATACAAAAATATGAACTATTCTGTTTTTGAGAGCCCGTTAAAGTTCACCAAACTACTATTGGTACCAGTGATGCTTAGCTTAATTAAATGACGAAATAGTACCATCTGATTCTTCTTACTATCTCGTTCTTTTAACAACAATACCAGTACTACCATTTGGTTCTTATTAAAGCACTATAAGTTTTTACATTTGGTTTTTATTACCACGACAACAGTAGTACCATTTGGTTCATATACCCAAATACCAATAGTACCACTTGATTCTTACTAACAGTATACCTGTAGTGCCTATTAACACAATTAATAAAGCATTACTGCGTCATTGGTGTCAAATAAAAGATCAGCAAAATAGTCTACGGAGGAAGAGCTTATTGTTACTATATTGCTCCAAACTGCCATAAAGATAGTTTTAATTGTTAAGAAAAGAATGTATGAAAACCAATGTACGAAAAAATCTTCTTTGTTATTGTAAAATGGGGAAAACCGAGAAAAAGGTGGACAGATGAGGTGGAGAGAGATCTCAAAAGCTTAAAAATTAAAAGTGGTAAACGAATGCTGCTTTGGCGTCGAATTGTTACGGAGGCCATGGTCGAATGGAATGTAGTGCCAGGGAGTAATATGGAAAAATTTCATCGCGATCGAAAGATTACACAACTAAAACATATTTTATCTTTTAGCACTGTCTAATGTGTGTTTAGCTATTTCGCTCGCATTTGATGGTGAGTAATTTTCCAGCGATTTTCCTTCCCACGTTAAATGAAAATGGGATGTGTAAAGTAAATAAATAAAACACAAGCTTTTTTAAATACCAAATAATAGTACTATGTAATATTGTAATGGCGTTATGTAGATAATAATTATAATGCATCGTATCATAAACTGTAATAGTGATAGATATCTATTACATCAAATTTATAACATTCCCAAGGCTGAAACATAATATCAAAAGCAAATATAAAAATTTTTCTTATTATATTATCCTTCATTACTATAGTTTTGTTTTAAGAAAGAAAAATGGCGGCGTATGTCCTTCATTATTGTAGTTTATTTTCAAAAATAAGATATTTCCGTCTACCACAATACATTATTAATACAAATATTTATATTTGGATCTGAACTCAAAGCACAGAGAAGCCTGTATATTCATGTTTATGGTAATGGAAAAACAAGAATAATATAAAAACAAGAATAGTATAAAAACACAAAATGCAGTTTCTAATAAAATATTTTACAATTATTTCCAATACATCACCATATTATCGATTCTGCTCAAAAAAAGAACAGTGTGAACTATTTAAAAGTAAGGGGAAAAAAAGTATTGTAAATATATTACCATACATAAAAATTACCACCCATACGTAATATATAATACAAAATCATGGGTGATAAAGACAGATTTCCCGTTTTTCCGACACCAATGGCAAAGCAACAAATGAAAGCTCGATTGTCAATAGCTGAAAAAGGCCATGACATGTTGAAAAAGAAGGTAGAAGTACTGGATATGAGGTTTCGCAAAATTGGAAAAGAAATCATTCAAGTAAAACGTCTGATNACGGTAATATTGTGCATTTTTCCCTCGTGGACCTCTTGAACCAGTGGAAGTGCTTGTGGTTGCCTCATCGTCTCGCCCTGGATAATGTATTTGTATTAATAATGTATGTGAATGCGTCATAATGTAATTTCAGAAGAGAAATTCTAACAATCAATTGATATTAACCTACAAGAGACCTACCTTGACATAACCTTAAATCCGTCGCATTGTCACTGGGATTGTTTTCACTGATTTTTTACAATTATTATCCACTAAATTTGAAAATAAAAAATATTATCCTATTAAATTATCTGTGTATCAAAACAAACTATAAAAATATTTATAGAAAAGCAAAAGTTTCATGACTTTTATTATTTTTATGCTAGTCAGAACCGAAACATTATGGAAATGAATGAGGGAAAACTGTATCCAACCGCGTGATTTCCCGGCCGATAAAAATGTAGCGTTAAACGTTTAACGCAACCTTGTTGGAAGTCGCATAAGAAGTATAACTTCAACAACTGATTGCCATTAACAACCTCAATATTACGTCAACTAATTGAACGATAGTAGTTAGGTGATATAGTTCAGCCTCTGACTTGATGGTTTCTCATATGTATTAAGTTTACATAAGAATGACTTTTTTAAAATAAAGTTTTGAAGAAAAAGTTAATGATTAAAATCAATTTAATGAAATGGCCTGTTTAATCTAAATAAAACACAAATTAAAATTACAATTAAATTATAAATACAAAATCATGGGTGATAAAGACAGATTTCCCGTTTTTCCGACACCAATGGCAAAACAACAAATGAAAGCTCGATTGTCAATAGCCGAAAAAGGCCATGACATGTTGAAAAAGAAGGTAGAAGTACTGGATATGAGGTTTCGCAAAATTGGAAAAGAAATCATTCAAGTAAAACGTCTGATGGGTACAATCTTCGTGGAAGCTTCCATGCTTTTAGCTGAAGCAAGGTTTGTTTCTGGCCATTTCAACCAAGCGGTTTTAAACAAATCTACCAAAGCCAGACTCAAGGTTTATCATAAAACGGAAAATGTCGCTGGAGTTAAACTTGATGTTTTTGAATGCTTTGACGAAGGTCAAGATTACTATAACTTGACAGGATTGGCTAAAGGTGGGGAAAAACTGAGTGCTCTAAAGCACGCGTTCATGAATGCTACCGATATACTTGTAGAGCTTGCCACTCTGCAAACAACTTTTTTGGTTTTGGATGAAATTATTAAAAGCACCAACCGAAGAGTGAATGCCTTGGAGCAAACGTATATTCCGAAAATCAAGAAAACTATACAATATGTTGATAGTGAAATGGACGAAAATTCTCGCCAGGATTTCTACCGATTGAAAATGGTGAAAAGAATAAAGTTAAGAGAAATAGAGGAAAAGAAGAAAGCTAAGGCAGAAATTGACGATGCAGGAAATGGAAAGGACAAGAAGCCAAATAAGCAATTTATGGACAAGTCGAGTCAAACGGACATTAGAGCAATATAACTCTGATTTTTAATATTTATGCAGAAATTAAATCAGATCAATTTCTTTTAAAAGAAATTTTTCAAATAATTCAATATGCCAGTTTAGTAAGTTACACATTTGTTCATGATAGGTTTCAGGCTTGATTATGATAAGTCACATTTTTCATTTTCTTTAGATTTATAAAAGAAAAGAAAGAAGCAATATTTTCTTGTAGGTAAGTTTTGCTATTTTACGTAATTCCATGATGGCTCAGCTGATGAAGCGTTAGCCTACCAACTAGGTAAACAAGTTCGAATTCCAGCAATGGTTGAGTGACTTTAATACTGCTCCAGACTCGCGCCGATCCCAGTACCATTCAAAAATAAATCCAGTGATAGTTGGATTAGGAATAGGGATCCTCTAGGTTTTAGTAACTTTCCTCTCCATGTAATGTGAATGAGGCTTAATTCTATCAAAAATGCGAGTTTGTCACAAGGGTCGATTCATGAATTCTCGAGTTTTTAGGGAATTACTAATCTTTACTTCGAGTTTATCATCGATGTAGCCCAAATAAAGTATAGGTCAATACCAGTTGCTCAATGCTGCTAATAAGAAAGAAAGAAATAGCATCTGAAATAGTGAGAAAACTAAGGAATGGTTTGATGCAAAAATATGAACTATTTTGCTTTTGAGAACCCGTAAAAGTTCACCAAACTATAACTGGTACCAGTGATGCTTAGGTCAGTTAAATGGCGAAATAGTACCATTTGAGTCTTCTTACTATTTCGTTCTTATAACAACAATGCCAGTAGTACCGTTTGGTTCTTATTAAAGCAATATCTGTAGTACCATTTAGTTCTTATTAAAGCACTATTAGAAGTACCATTTAGTTCTTATAACCACAATACCAGCAGTATCATTTGGTTTTTATTACCGCGACACCAGTTATACCATTTGATTCATATTACCAGTATACCTGCAGTGCCTTTTAACACTATTAATAAAGCATTACTGCGTCATTGGTGTCAAGTAAAAGATCAGCAAAATAGTACTTAAAAATATCATCTACGGCTAAAGAGTTAATTATTACTATATTGCTCCAAACTGCCTGCCATAAAGATAGTTTTAATTGTTAAGAAAAGAATGTATAAAAACCAATGTAGAAAAAAATCTTTTTTGCTATTGCCTAGGTCAAAGAAAATGGGGAATTCCGAGAAAAGATGGATTGATGAGGTTGAAGGCCTGGTTTCTTAGGACAAGACGCCGTCAGCTGGAAATCAGCGCTAACCTCCGATTGGTCCATTTGTGAGTTTGATAGTCTACGTCATCGAACGCTCATCTTGAGCTACAATCGCCGTCCAACTCAACTGCAGTTGGATTTACAACGTGACGTTAACCACAGAAGCAATGGCGGACAACATCCAGCAGCACATTGAAATCAGCCAAGATTTTGATTTTGATATTAAACATAGCTTCTTCATTAAGCATAGCACTCTTCATTTAGCTCAGCTATAATGTGTTTTTTATCGGACAAAATCATTATTTGTTCTTTAAAACACTGGTCGACAATAACAAGATCAATACAAATTCGAAATAAATATTTGTTTACGTTATTAACGCATGCGCAATGAGAGATAATATCTGCGTTGGACCGACTGCTCACGCTCAGCTAACAAAAAATATTTTTTTGGCGTCAGCTCTACGTCAACTTTCCGCTGACGCACAGATAAGGCGCTTGTCCTAAGAAACCAGACCTTTAGAGAGACCTCAAAAACTTAAAAATTAAGAGTGCAAAACGAACGTCGTTGCTTTGGCGTCGAATTGTTAGAGAGGCCATGGTCGAATGGAATGTAGTGCCAGGGAGTAATACGGAAATATTCCATCTCGATAGAAAGCTTACACAACTAAAACATATTTTATCTTTTAGCACTGTCTAATGTGTGTTTAGCTATTTCGCTTGCATTTGATGGTGAGTAATTTTCTATCGATTTTATTTTCCACGTTAAATAAAAATGGGATGTGTAAACTAAATAAATAAAACACAGGAGGAATAAATAAAACACGAGCTTTTTTAAATATCAAATAATACTACTATGTAATATTGTAATGGCGTTATGTAGATAATAATTATAATCCATCGTATCATAAACTATAATAGGGATAGATATCTATTACATCAAATTTATAACACTCCCAAACCTGAAACATATAATAACAAAAGCTAATATAAAATTTTTTCGTTTTATATTATCTTTTATTACTATAGTTTTATTTTACGGAAAAAAATTGGTCGCGTATGTGTTTCATTATTGTAGTTTATTTTCAAAAATAAGATATTTCCGTCTACCATGATACATTATTGATACAAATATTTATATTTGAATCTGACTACAAAGCACAGAAAAGCTTGTATATTCATGTTAATGGTAATGGAAAAACAAGAATAATATAAAAACAAGAATGGTATAAAAACACAAAATGCATTTTCTTTTACAATATTTTACAATTATTTCCGATACATCACCATATTATCAATTCTGTTCAAAGACAGAACAGTGTAAACTATTTAAAAGTAAAGGGTAAAAAAAAAAAATTTATATATTACGATACATAAAAATTACCGCCCATACGTAATATATGTATTCTACACTGATCCACATATGGTCAATTAGATTGATTGATATTGACCCACATATATCTTGGGGGTCAGAAATACAAATTCGTCAAGAAAAGGGTTTGTATATACAAAGAAAGTACGTTTTTGTGTCTGATTTCATAATTTAAAATATCGTCTGCACTAATTAATTAGCATATTTTAGGTCAGCCCTTTGAACCATTAAGATTGAATCCTTGAAAGTGAAAATCGGTACATTTGATCAAAAGTTACTCAGGGTGATCCATTCTTTATTATTTTGTGCATTGTACATAATATCTCATTAAAATTTTGAGCATTAAATTTGTATAACTCTTTTTACTTTTCTGTCAAATTTTGAAATTTAATTAATAGTAAGTCACTAATTAATTAATTTCACATTAAATAAATATCCATCCAGCAATTAAGAGCTTAGTTCATGACAATTGGAGGATTTTATCAAATCACTATACTAAATGAATCGGCTTCTACTCTTTCTCTCAATACAAAAAGACTCATTCATATTTCAGTTTTACTATTTTTATGGAAATAAAAGCCCAAACCAGAAAACAGACAAAATCAAAATACAAACATTGAAACAGAAAAATAATGAAGTAAACATTTATGACTTTAATTTCAACTTGTGATTCAATACTTATTCTTTATTTTCTTTCAAAAACATAAGAAATCAAATGACTTCACGTTTCGGGAATAATCTAAAAAGAAATTATATTCTTCGAAAAGCTTTTATTATTTCAATACTACTTTAATTATTTTTAATATGCTCATTTTTCTTAATATGCACATTAAAGAAACATTCATAACCTTTTTTTTTAATTTCTCTCCCTTCGATATACTTATTTTACTTAAAGTTTTTGGTTATGATAGCAATTTATTTTAATTGCGTCTAAGTGTTTTGGCATGATTGGCTCAAGGGATATTAGAGACAACTGTAAAAAAATTCGCATTAAGTAAATTGCATTGAAGTCAAAAAAGTTTTTATTGAAATATGTTTTTAAAAAAATATTCGTATTGTTCGAAGAATAAGTTTTCCGTTACAGTTTAATGTTTTTGTATGTCTTTTTCAAACCTGATCTGAAAAATGGAATAACTTTCAAAGCAATTTAAAAATTCTCCAATACATTTAAAATTGTCCAGCACCAACTAATTAATTTTTTAGGGCACCCTATACTTATATGGTTGGCATATGATTGACAATATCGTTTTAAGTTAAATATACGAAAAAATAAATGGCAGGAGTCGCTGTGACTCAGAAAATAGAGCACCCGCCTCCAAGGAGGTGAGCCAGGTTTGGATCGTTACGGGGGCTGCTTGATACGAAATTTGCTCTCGGCAAGTAACCAATGACAGTTATAACTTAAAAGATACTCAGTGGTAGATGGATCATACATTTAAATTCCGTTGCCGTCTGGCTAACCATGTGTGGTTTTTGTGGTTTTCGTATCAATGTAATGCAAAGGTAGGTTAGTTTCATTAAAAATGTATCCGTGAGGGCGAAATTTCTCCCAATCCTTGATCTACGAGTTCTTTTGTCTTCCGGGTTAAGTTCAAAATTACAGGGCTAAAGAATTGAACACTGGTAGTTATAAACTCAAAATTGGGTCGGCTGTTCAACGACGGTTATAAAATAAAACAAAAAATAGATAGCAAAGCAAAAATTCAACAACACTTTAGATATAAAAATGAAATCTTAAAAAAGTCCAACAAATTTAAAAATTTCCAAGAAGCTAAGCTGGTCAAGCGGTCTCGCTGTTCAGCAGAATGCTCCGTAGTATGGAGGTTGTGGCTTTGACTCCATCCGCAATCCTGGATTTATTTTTGCCCTCTATAACTTGTGCTATCTGTTCTTCAACTTGAAATAGGACAGTAAGCCGTACTTAGTAATGAGCACACAAGCCTGCATCTGTAACAATGAATAAAAGTAAAGATATCCTTGCGATTCTTAAATTTTGAAATTAAGCGTACCGCCGTCCTTATAAGACCTCCCTTGCTGGGTGGTATCGCCCACCAAACGCTGCGCAAGACGTGAAGGTAGTGGGTTCGAATCCGAACGTTACCCTGCATGTATCTTAGTGCTATCCCTCTCTGTTTCGTGCTCTCTGTTTTCAGTTTGACAAAGGTTTGTAAGCCTAAATTGAGCACACAAGTCTGCAAATTAATTCCAATAAATAAAATAAATAAATAAAACCAAATAAATTAGGCCGTTTCACTCATTAGATGGCTGTGTAACAGGATAGATGAGCAAAAAAAAAGTTTTTTACTTCTTTGCATTAAAATTTCACCTGATTTATTTTATGGAATGTTGATTTATTGATCCTACACTTATGAAAAAAAGGTATTCTAGTAAATTTACATTAGTGAGTAAAAAAAGTAATCTAGTAAATTT